TTTCAGGTTCTCGAATTAGCAATTTACCTGCAAAGAATTTTCACGGGCCTCTACATGCGAACCACGTACACCTAGGGGTTGGGTTTGAACTCATTAAGTCATACATGTATATGAAGCATCTCCTTAAAATTTCAACTTTCTAACTTTTCTGGTTCTCGAATTAACAGCTTAGCCGTTAAAAAGTTTGACGGTTCCGTAAGTGTAAACCACGCAGGCGAGAGCGTCCGTTTTGGAGTTTGGGCTTCGTACGTGCATGTAAATTAAATTCCCGAAGTTTAAGCTTTGTAGCTTTTGCCGATAGCTTTTACAGACGAACACACAGACACACACACACAGACAGACAACCCCTCGTCAGTATGCGTTTTCTGCATTGCATAGCTTCAAAAAACGCATAAAAAGAAGGTGAAATTCACTTTATTGTCATCGATGCTCCCACTCGCCACGTGCAACTATGCCAGATTCTCCCCTGCTCCGCTGCATATCTCCAATCAGAATCTATTAACTGTTCGATGTGTATGCACCGTCTGTCGTCACATTTCCATTATTTTTCAAATTTTAGTTCAATGAAGTGCTGACACGCGGCTCGCAGTTTCGGGTTGAATCAATGCTGTTGCGGCTTGCCCATCGAGAACAATTTGTTGCCCCGAGTGTTTCTGTTGCTCAAAGAACCGCGTATGTTTATTACTTTTGATAAATTTTGCTCCATGAGTTAATCAGGTGATAAATGGACTAGAGAATATCAGATTATTAACTTGATCACGCTTTCATCGGGCGGAAAAAGTGCCTCCTTTCCTCATTCTCTTCCTGCTTTCTGAACCTTCGATACTTTGGCGTTGTCCAACGTCAACCTGGATGCTACAATCTGATATTCTCATGAAAGCTGTCTCCTCATAACTTCGTAAAATTACTATCCTTATCATATGTTAGTTTCCTCGTCTTCCACCTGCTGTATCACTCCTACTTCTTTCAAGATATTAAATATTTTCTCTCCTTCTTACTCTCTTTATCTTTTCCTTTC